TAACTTGATAAAGTGCACATATCATACTGTACTAAGTAGATCCATATGTAGTGCATTATGAACAACTAGGTTACCGAAATACCAAACTTTGGCAAAAAGTGATTGAGAGAAATTTTTGTTTTCTTTTCCTGAATGATCCAGAGCTGAAGATAACCTGCTTAATTGTTTAAAATACTCAAAACAAATTACCGTTTACCAATTAAGTTTGAGTAGCTTGTGTACAAATTCGCATGGAAATTTCAAAAACCCAATAGTATAACAATACTCTGCATAATTACCCAATGTACTGCATACCTGCATTTCTTTACAATGTTTACAGATCTTTACGTACAGGAATCACAAATACTCATATGAACTCTACCGCAGTGAATAATGCATAAAATGGCTGCCACATCTCGCTTGTTGTTAATTTTGAAATTTTTCTTTAATTGTCTACTCATTGGTGTAGATTTGGTTGGTTGGTTTGTTGTTTAACGCCGCACTCAGCAATATTCCAACTATATTCTACCCAATTGGGATCGATGACATGCATCAACCAAGTCAGCGAGCCTGACCACCCGATCCCGTAAGTCGCCTCTTATGACAAGCATAGTCACCTTTTACAGCAAGCATGGCTTGCCGAAGACCTATTCTACCCCGGATCTTCAAGGGACCATTGGTGAAGAAATACACAATAGACTGGACCCAAGCAGGGATTGAACTCCAAAGCTTTACAAGCGAGGGTAAAGACAAAAAGCCCTTGTAATGTTAAAACAATGGGGAAATTGGGAAATTTGTACTAGCCCTAGGGCTGGCCGAAAGGATCCATAATTGGAATTATCATCGATGGGAAGAAATATTAATGATTATCGATAAGAAACTGTTGTCATCAATAATAACTTACAGAAACTATTGTGATGAAATCAAGTTATGATTTTACCGAAACAGACTTGTTATTGTCATTCATGTCAAATGTCGAAGAAAAGTATTGTGGTCAGGCTACTTTTTTGGTTATATCTCAAACGGCCACAATGTAATCCATGCATACATGTGTCACTGCTCTCCAGCGGTGTGAAATATGTTGATTTCTGTTGGTATTTTCTTGCATATTGCTTAAAGTTATTTATCGATAATTTATCAATATTTAGTTAGCGATTATCGACCTCTAGGATTAATATCGATAGCCAGACCTTACTTGCCCGCATGAATTTGTACTAGCCCAAGGCTAGCAGGCTAGTGTTAGTTCTAACTCTGCCCACGGGAGTAAACACATGTTAAATACCCAAAGAAAACTATCAATACCCAATGTGAATGATAACAAGTGAGGCATTACTCAACGGACTCCATTAGGATTATATTATTTGGAGTCTGAATACTAGAAATATCTTGACTCTGTTCTGCACGGTCTGTTCTCCAAGAACAATGGCAGGAAACTACTGTATCCGAGTCCAACAAACTGAAAACTGAGCTCCCTGTTTGCAATATTAACATGATAAAAGACCATCAAGCTCAGGAAAAGTAAAAAAAGTTTTTTATGAGAAGTACCTACTTCCTTGAGAGAATGTTCAACCTTTCAATATGAAACAGGAAACAGAAAGTTTCCTGCCCCATTAAACAAAGAGAATGACTGAGATGAGATGATACACTTGTAAATGTCATCACGGCCATTAAAATATAATAAAATCCTTTATGTTTCAGCCTAAATATTTCAGTGAAATTACACCATAAATATGTTGGCTGGAACTGTAAAGAAAGAAAGGTTAGTATAAGATCAGTGGTGAGCTTGCAACAGAAACTGCTACTGGACAATGAGAGCCGTGTCAATGACTATCTCGGCTAATAGGATGGAGTGCGTGTCACATGCTGGGTCAGTAATACTAAGAGAGCTTGGTTGTCAGGGAGATTTCATCAGTAGTCAATATGTTCATTGTAGGGACATGCATTGTAAAATGTTATGCAAGTTTATTTTGTTCGTTTGTTGTCACTAATGCCACACAATGAGCAATGTCCTAGCTGTTGGGTTACAGTGACACACGATAACGCTGTGATCAGCAATATTCCAGTTGTATGATGACAGCCTGGAAATAGCCGAGTCTAGACCAGACAATGTTGTGCTTGATATTATGAGCAACAATTTTAGCCCTTGGGTTACGAGACACGCTATCATACCGCATACAGCAATATTCCAGCCATATGTTTGTTTGTGTCTGCTGTTTAACGCCGCACTCAGCAATATTCCATCTGTATGACGGTGGTCTGTAAACAATCCAAGTCTGCACCAGACAATTCAGTGATTGACATCATGAGCATCGATCCACGCAATTGGGATACGATGACATGCATCAACCAAGTCAGCTAGCCTGACCACAATAAGGCCTAGACAATCCAGTGGTTGATATTATGAGCAACAATCACAATTACAATGACAAAGTTTGCTACTCATAACTTATCTATTTTTGGTCCAGTTCCACAAAATGATCTTAGCACTAAGACTGAATTAGCACAATGATGACTGTGACCAAATTGTTTGTGAGACGATGATTACCTATGTTAGAGAAAGTGAGAGAGTATGGTTCTACGCTGCTTTCAGAAATATTTCAGCAACATCACGGTGGGGGCCACCAGATTTTGGCTTCACATATTGTACCCATGTGGGGAATCGAACACGGGTCTTCGACGTGACGAGCAAACGCTTTAACCACCTGGCTACCCCACCACCCCACCTGTGTTAGAAATTAGGCGGTTCCTGGGTAATTAAGATTTGCTGCTACAGAGAGGACAGTAGTGTTATCATAGTTACAACAAGCACCGGTTGACTTTCAGTACAACAACCGCTCCAGTTGCTGCCAAAGATGTCAGATGACAGCCCTTTTTATAAACTACAGACAGGTATAAAGATAGCCAGCGGATGATGCGGGCACATGAACAAGCCCTATAAATAGATTATTACTGAAAACATATCAGGACACTTGGGATGTCACGATTCTTGATAATATTCTCACACGATAGGCAGGCCTCAAAGTTGCGACTAAAATGGTAGCCAATGCGACCTAAATTTCAGTTTGTTTACTATCTAAACTTCAGAGGTAGCCAAATGACTACCTAGAAAAATATCTTGTGGCGACTAAATTCTATTGCTACACATCTGTAGACACAAAAATTAATAATAGCTGATATTGGAAAATACGTCTGCTAATAATTGTACTCGCAAATAATTCCTTCTAAAGTCGTCAATGAACCAAAATACATGAAAATTAATGTAATTAGTTATTTATTTTAGCTGAAAATGCTCATTGGATAAGCGAGGATATACCTATATAATCTAGTAACATAAATTGCATCATTGTTCAAGTCACAAGTAACAAATTTCAAGTACAGTTTCCATTAAGATACAATTTCAAGACTAGTGCTGTAACTTGTACATATTATAATAGTTATTTGATAAAGATAATTTCAAATGCATTTAGCTACCTACAATATTGGCTTGACTTCTTGATTTTACCACTGGCTATCTGGAAAAATATACCTGTAGCCATATGGCTACTTGGTAAAAATTTAAACTTTGAGGCCTGATACGATATGTGATACACACATGTATACCTGTATCGATTCATATTTTAATTCTGTATCAATTCAAATTTTGATCCTGAAACCTTTCACGCATGAATCACTGAATCATATTTAACTCATATAATTTCAGGTGCACATATAAGGTATTTTGCGAACAGGGAATTGGGTATTTTTTGTATATTAGAAATGCTAATATTCTCACTCCAGTTTTATCTAAAATATATTGACTGAATTTCAAATGAGATATCATATTTTCAAATATGAAACAAAATATTCAGGTATTCCAAGCCTTTTTAACATTGTTTATGCCCTATTAAATATATAAAATTTCCATTAAAAAAGTATTACAATACATATCATAAATATAGTATTGTGATATGTATCATATCGGGAGATTGTCATGTTGTGACATCCCTACAAGATAACCCCACAAAATTCTGAAATTCTACAAGCCTTCTGGATACTGGTCAACACTTAACATACTGATGCTTTCAACATTAGACAACTTACTTAGGCTAAGGGACTAGTGTCAATATGCTTCTCCAGAATATATTCATACAAGTTCGGGCACGAAAAATCAAAAGGTATAATATCATAATGCACACAACCAGTCACAGTGAGGCTGTCAGGTAAATTCCACATACTGAAAGTCTGCAGTTTACCCTAATCCCATATCATAACAAAATCTGATCATGGTATATAATACAGCAGTATGCATGTTCTGAAGTAGAGCCACTATTGAATTTCACAGAGTTTGACATTCCGGACATCAGGAAAGGAACAGGACTGGTGCCCTGTGAAAACAGACTCGCCTTGACTATAAAGCAATTGTGTACTCCGATTTGGGTTAGGGTAGATCTGTTGTAGACAGAATAGTACCTAGGCATATTTTTGTAGCACCTGTTTCACTTGTAGTATAAGGGGGAAATATTTGTAACCCATTCTGCTAATAATAGCATGGACGCTAAGGCCTGGGGCCTAATACACTCAGCGTCCACAATAGTAACATTTCTCACAATGTCAATCACGGTATTATTGCCATATTCTTTAACAACATTAAAAGCATCGCCAGATTACCTGTTAGACAGCGACAAGCAAATTGCGGTACCCTGTGTTTCTAAGATGTTGTGTTGTGTCCTCACCTGGTCACAATCACAGCAAACAACGAAGTCACCGATCCCCAGTTCAAAGTGCAACTGAACGCTCTTGAGCTAAATGACAACCTCTTCACCCGAATTTTCATCTTTATTTAACATATTAACTGACTGTGTAACGATATGTTGTCCATAGACTACACGGCACGAGTGCTGACTGCCAAGTTACAACAATATTTTGTGTTTCGGACCGACAAGCTGGACGAGTGAGTTTTGACAAGCTCAAACGATGTAAACAAATCTCCCATCTCTCGATTCCTTCACGTATCTATGTATGACTAAAGAATATTTACATACCTGAGATTGTACTCTTCCATCTTCAGTGACAACCCAATGCGTAAAGCCACTCGTCAACAGACTTTGTTCCAGCAAAAGGTTCACAGCAACCAACACAACCATGGACGGCGCCATGTTTGTGATGATGAATATTCATGAGGAATCATCGCGCCGGGCTAAGTCTTTTTATGGAACAGGTGCACGTGGCAGGCGAACATTGAACAAGCGAGCAAGGTAGATTGCTTGTTGATTGATTAAAACAACAACAGCTCTAATTACTTCCAGGATGACATTATGTCGCGAGAAACACAATAAAGGGAAACCGATACTGTATATATCACTAAATTATGAAGATGATAACGACAACGCAAAATAAACATTGACAACAATGAACGTTGTAGGTTGATACTAGTGCTAGAAAGTTTTTCCTGAAATCATTTTAACAAGTTAAAGGCTTTTTATTGCAGCGATATAATCAATCGTGTTTCTTTTTTATTGTTATGCTCTGGATCTAGAGCTTGACCTAACCGAGGGCACAGATCAATTATTCTCAATGTACTTGTATGAAATATCATATGGGCCGGAAATCTCCATGCGGAAAATGATTCTGCACGGGTGTTAAGTTCACCGGCAGAGCCTTACATTCATTTGCATAACATTCGCAAATCACCTTTAACCAATACATTTTTGAGTTTCCTGCGTCCAAATTCGCAGTTTAAATTTAAAAATAAAATAAAATAGAATAACAACAAGCGTAATTACAGATCGACAGATGGGAGGGTATTATTTGGGGAAAAGACTTAATATAAAATTATATTTTTAAAATGTTTGTTTGTTGTTTAACGCCGCACTCAGCAATATTCGAACTATATTACATCGGTCTGTAAATAATTAAGTCTTGACCAGACAATCCAGTGATTGACATCATGAGCAACGATCCACGCAATTGGGATACGAATTGGCATAATGACAGAGTATAGCTCGAGGCCGAACTATATATGTGATTGTGGTGCATTAATGGTGGAATATTAAATATCCTGAGACCGATTTACAGCTACTTTACATGTGCTTTTCAATAGCACCGTAAGTTTGTAAACTCCTGGCTTATCCCAAAAGTATTATTAATGAAATTAGCTCTAAAGGTTGTGTACCAAGTTTAAAACCCAATGCATTTTTTAACTTGAGTATTTGCATGTTTACTGCAGTACTTTATTTACTGATCGAATGCAGGCGTCATGCATGGACTCCACGCACTGGACTCAACAGTGCTTTGTTTGTTTGTTGTTTAACGCCACACTTAGCAATATTCCAGCTATATGACGGCGGTATGTAAATATTCGAGTCTGGACCAGATAATCCAGTGATTGACATCATGAGCACTGATCTACGCAATTGGGATACGATGACATGCATCAACCAAGTCAGCGAGTCTGACAACCCGATCCCGTTAGTCGCATCCTAGGGCAAGCATAGTCGCTTCATAGGACAAGCATATAGTTGCCTCCTTGGACAAGCGTGGGTTGCCGAGGACCTACGTCACGGTTATTGTTAGACATATATATCGCTGCTTTAAACAGAATATTCTCTCGCTGTTGTGAGTTCACGCAGCCTGTTACAGAATATGCATGGGCAATGTAGGTGTTGGTGGGGCAAAGGTGTGACTACACTGAATATAGATATAACGAACACTTTGACACGACATTAGTCATATGTTCCATTTTCTTTTGTTCAAATGTCATTATATTAAAACGAGAACATTTATTTCACTGAGATAATTGTCTACCCATGACAGCTGGATGCAATTATATTTGTTTATAATATATTATATGTGAAAACATGTCATGCATCCTGTCCCCCCATCTGTTGCCGCCTGACCTAGACTGTCCTCGAGGGGCGGTGGGGTAGCCTAGTGGTTAAAGCGTTCGCTCGTCACGCCTAAGGCCCGGGTTCGATTCCCCACATGTGTACAATTTGTGAAGTCTATTTGCTGGACTATTGCTAAAATCGGCGTAAAACAATACTCCCTCACTCACTGTACATGAAATTCATTTAAATTCATTCTGCCAGGCAGAATACTTTACTGTTTGTTTAATTCACAGTTCGGACGTGAAGCGCTCGTAAAATATGAAACACGGACGCTGCGATTTTTCCAGGACTAAGGAAAAACGAGTAAGCTGGGTTCAACTTCAAATTATTTCTTCTCCAGACGTAAGGGGAATTCTTGATAAATTATGAACGCAAAGGTATAAATGCTACCACTGGGTGAGTGAGTGAGCTGTATATCACGACAAGCCATAAACACGGACTCAAAATGTGTGTATAGGGCAGCACCCAACTTTTTAAGTATACCAGTGAGTAAGTATGGTTTTACGCCGCTTTTAGCAATATTCCAGCAATACCACGTCGGGGGACACCAGAAATGGGCTTCACACATTGTACCCATGTCGGGAATCGAACACGGGTCTTCGGCGTGACGAGCGAACGCTTTAACCACTAGGCTACCCGACCGCCCCCGGTAGTGTTGGAAGTTGTCAGGAATTCGATGCTTTCAGATAGGTAACCTGTCCGCACTAGACATGTAAGATGCAAGTCAGGTCGTACAGGGGCCGACCCGTGAAGACCCGGGTTAGAAATGGTCTTCAGCGACCCATGCTTGCCGTAAAAAGGCGACTAATGGGAGGCTTCTTTTACAGGTACAGCCAGCCTTCTAGAAACTACCACATCCTGAAACCTCTCGAACTATCAGGGGCGGTCGGGTAGCCTAGTTGTTAAAGCGTTCGCTCGTCACGCCAAAGACCCGGGTTCGATTCCCGACATGGGTACAATTTGTGAAGCCCATTTCTAGTGTCCCCCGCCGTGATATTGCTGGAATATTGCTAAAAGGGGCGTAAAACCGTACTCACTCACTCTCGAACTATCAAGCTGTCATTTTACTGGCGTTTCAGTCATTTGCTGTTACTCACAATCAACACGATTAAATTACAACAATCTTCACTGGCACAACACGAGCAATATGAGACAGCCGTTATCGAGTGAGAATATTTGTAATGTTTTCCGACTGTTTAATTAGTTAAGTTGGCATTAGGGATTGAAAAAATAGTGCAGTGTGATAAAAATATACTTGTTTCAAGGTCAAATTGCCGGGGTTGGAAATACAGTAAAGTACGGTTATAACGAACTCAAAGGGACTACTAATTTTAGTTCGTTATAACCGAAGTTCGTTATAAGCATATATCCAATATAACAACAGCATATAGTCGGGACCAAAAATGTCAGTTCGTTATATCCGTCAGTTCGTTATAAGCGTGTTCGTTATAACCGTAGTTTACTGTATATATCTTCAAAAAAAGAAACGCAAAGCCAGATTTGTATGAGGTAGAAAAAATACATTTGTACGAGGAAAAGAACAAGGTATTGAGTCAAAATGTTGTGGAGAGAACACTTGGTGACAGTAGTCATCTCAGTTATCCGTCATCATATCCCAATTGCGTGGATCGATGCTCATGATATAAATCACTTGATGTCGATTATTTACAGACCGCCGTCATATAGCCGGAACATTGCTGAGTGCGGCGTTAAAAACAAACAAACAAACAGTTATCTGTACATAGGACAAGTCCAAGGTGAAGGTCAGCTACCATAAAAAACGCGTATGTCCCCCGTTGGAATCTATAGCGGCCTGTCGTTTCCGACCCATGGAAGAGACGAGTATGCGAATAAAATCCTTGGGAATGGTAGCCCTCTCGGCCTGCAACGCAAAGGCCAACTACTGCAACGTCTGGGGTTGTGGTTGACGTCGGCGTAGCCGTTTATCCAATTCATCCCATAGGTGCTCTATCTGTTTCAAATCCGGGGATCTGGAGGGCCAGGGGAGAACATCAACGTTGTTGTTGTGTAGAGAAGCTCTTGTGATCCGTGCTGTATGCGATCGAGCGTTGTTCTGCTGGACATTGATGTTTCGTTGGGCCGTAAGGTTGCCCTGGATGTGGACCAAACCTGTCCTGCCATGATGAGAGATATATCCGCCCACATCATAACGCTACCCCTACCAAACCTGTCCACTTCCTGTACGCAGTTTCCTCGGCGTAACGTTCTCCCCCACGTCTGTAGACCCGTGCTCTTCCATCCCCTCGATGGAGGAGAAATCTTGATTCGCCGCTGAACCAGACATCTCTCCATCGCAGTTAAGGCCATACCCTGCGTTGACGACACCAATGCAGTCATTATTGACGCTGTTGTCGACTCAGTAAGACACGTCGAACAGGACGTCTTGCTCGTAGACCTGCTGCTCTTAAACAGTTTCGTACGGTCTGGTCGGAGATTCTGTGCAGTCCGGGTATTTGGGATGTGGCTGTGGTCGCCCTTTCACGTAGGTGGCGAACTTGGGCGGGTTGGTTACTCTTGGTCGTCCCGACCTTGGCCGATCACGTGTTGACCCATGCTGTTGAAACCGATCCCATAGCCTTGTGATGGTGCTGGGCGCTACATTGAAAACCCTGGCGTCTACTGATCAGAATTCCCCTGCCTGCAATCGGCCTATGACTTTAAAACCGTTCTTAGTGCTGCTGCACGTGCAGTACGTGAAGCTCCATGGCCCTTTTGTTTATGCACTAATGGTTTGCATGTCCTTGTTGTGATCATTTTGATCTGGGACATTTGTCACTAAACCTCTTCATTTTGCACCTCTTGGTCCGGTAATTTTGCTTTTATGGCCAAAAATATCCGTTTTACGTTTCTTTTCTTTTTTAAGATTATATAAAGACGGTGGCAATCTCATTAAATCAGACCTCAGTTCTCGCTACCGCTAAAAAAAGATCTGAAGACATCCCATTAGGGGCACGTCAGAACGACCTTTCATCCGACCAATCAGAGCATCGCTTACCGGATTATGAAAGTGACAGTCGGAATGTGATTTCTAATCATGCAACCTCGAAAACTATAACTCCGAACGACAGTTACGGGTTTAACGACTGAATCCATACAATGTAGACCATCTATTAGCCATTCCAGAATGTTCTTTTGTTCAGGTTTCAAATTTGTAATCGAGAATTTGTCAAAATATGTTTCGAAGTGTAGTCGCCAATTTGAAATTAGTGCCGTAAAGCAGGAGAAAGCTGCCTTCTGATTGGTCATTCCATTGGTCGGTCAAAGTTCGCGCAAGGTCGGTCT